CACAGACTTGTGCTCGGGCAGAGCTAGCTTTACACCTTGAGGTTCGGGTAGGGGCAGCCATAAATCCAGGTTGGATTCCCAGCAGTCAGAGAACATGGCACATAAACCATGGACTTTCCCATGACTCTACCCAGGACGTATCTCCATGAGGTCCCTAAGCAGGAAGGGATGGTCCTACTGGCCTATGTGGCTCCACAACACATCTTTAGTACAACGTGCCAACACACAACAAGCAGGTGGTGTGACCTGGTGTCACTCCTATAGGGCCACTTATGCAGCCCTTCACTGCCTCCACCACCCTGTTCTGCAGGCCGGGATATCTACTTTCTTAAAGGGTCAGAACAAAATAATTAGGATCATAGTCAATACTGTCCAGACAGAACAACCTGCTAGTATGGTGGCCATCAGTGGAAGGCAGGAGATGCCACTGGGCCCATCCCACAGCCTTCTCTGCCTCCACCTACCTGGCTCTGTCCCCAGAAGCCCCCTCCTACCTTTGAGGAAGACAGGCAGTGCAGAGGCTGCTGTCAGAACCACCCCTCGACAGCCCATCCCTCCCACACCCCCACTCTGACACCCTAGAGGGCCTGGCCACTAAGCTGTCTCAGTCTCTTTTGTTCTGATGACACAAGGGGGATTTACAGGGTTGAGAGACACAAGAACAGCTCATCAACAGATTAGACACTGCATGACTTCCAATAAACAAAAATTACTGTTCATGCCCAAAACCTCATGCTCTAAATTCATTCCTGAGGAAAGAAAACTGAGGAAGGAGGGAGGAAAAGAAAACAAAATTACATCACAGTCAGTGCCCGGGTCTCAGAAGGGCCCCATGCAGGTGTCCGCAAGCAGGGCAAGTGCCCACTCATCCTTGACCAGCCCCAGCTCTACCCCTGACACCAAGTGGTCAGCACAGATGGCTGGACACTTTTCACTCTGGCCTATGCTCACTAGGGACTACGATGGGGTGCTCCTCATGTCTCTTTCCCAAGAGAGAGGGAATATAATGACACTGCAAGATGGGATCTGACCAGATCTCTCTATCCATGTGGGCCCCTTCATCCCACAAAACCCACAGATGGGGAGGGTGCCCCAGGTAGAGTTGGAAAACACTGTGCAGCCACAGCTTCCAGAATAGTTTCCTCATAGTCATGGGATGGCTAGTCATTCAGCTGGGGGACCAGCAGCCTCACTCCACCACCACTTCCCTCTCAGGGGAACCTGAGGGGCTATCAGCCCCTGCCCCTACTTCAGGACCACCTCATACTTCCAGAGTAGCTCTCCTACCCTGGACTTCCCTGTTCCCTCTGTCCCTCGGTCCCACAGGGACCACCATTCCTTCTTCCACTGCCCCACTGTACCATCTCTGGGCGCTGCCTCCACAGCATTGGATTCACATTCATATGCCGGGCAGAAGGGCCACAGTCTCAAGGTCAACCATCCCTGAGCTGCTCTTGCAGCTTCTCCCTGTAGCCTTAGCCTTCACCTCCTCCAACTTCTGTCTCCCCACCCTCACTGGGGAATGAGCCAAGTCCACCCCTGTCTGGCCTCCTCCATGACAATTCTGAGAGAATAATGCAGATTCAGCCCAGTCACCAGTCCCTGCTAATTTTGCTGGTCTGTGGATGTTGTCCACAGTGGGACCCTGAAGTGGCCCCATAGGAACACCAGTCCCTGATTGTAACTGAGATGGTGGCATCATTGTCCATACTACAGGCCCTCTCTGGGGCACCTGCCCACAGCAAAATAGTGCCAATATACACCTGCTCTTTCTGCTTGTGGCTGTGGGAATTGGCTCTGGGCATGGGAAGAGTGTGTGTGTGTGCATCCTGACAGTCTTTCCCATCTCCCTGTTGGCTGTCAAAAAGGTTTCTGAACTTGCTCCCCATGGGTTCCAGGTCATCCAGTCCTGTCACAACTGCCACACCTCACCTGCTTGGTCTTTGATGACATCCTCCTTCACCTCCCTGTGATGGCTGCTTGACACAGTGGTCACAGAGGTCTCTAAGATGAGAACCCACTCACCTGTTGCCTCAGGCTCCTATACTGGCCATCAGCCCATGGGCTCCCTCAACTGGCAAGACAGTACCCCTTAGCCTTTTGGGGCTGATAACTCATAGCTCAGCCTGTCCACACTGCACCAGGTGCCCACTGTACCGCTGCCTGCCACTTCAGGGTGGACCATGGCCTATGATGACTTTGCATCTGCCCAAGCCAGCACACCAGATGTGTGTCTGTCAGCCCAAGATGACAGACAGCCTTGTGGTCTCTGTGACCAACTCCTGAGGGGTCACAGTATCTAAGGAGACCTGAAAAATATGAGGGGCTGGTTGGAGACTGATGTGGACATCCCACACGCACACCCTGAGGAGAGCCTGTCTGCTTGCCCCTGAGTTCATTGAGGCTGCCACTCTGCCCTTGGGTTTCTCTACTGCTAAGGATGACTTTGGGAGCAGAGTTCAGGGCCAGCATAGCCCCTTGGCCAAGCCAGCAGCCACGTAGCTCCAGGGCCAGACCCCAAGGATCTGCAGTGCTGCGGCAGCCCCAGTGGGGGCCGAGCCCTCTCTCTAGGAGCTGAGTTAACCTGCCTTTAGTGACAAAGGATACAGCAAATTGCATTTGGTGACTGGAAGCTGCCCATCCCCCACGTGCTAGAGCCGTGTCCTGCCCAGTGCAGCCTTTGTGTGGCAAATGATGAGCACAATTATGTCCCACTGCAGAAAGACTCAAGGCAGGGGTGCTGACTGGAGGCTCTTCAGCAAGGATGGAGGAAGACATGCATGGGTGATAAAACAAACTCCTCTGGGGCAGCACCAAACTAGCCTCCAAAGAAATCAGGGGACTCCGCACATCTCTACAAGATAAGAGCTCAGCCTCAAATGTACCTGAGTGCACACTACACATGGCAGCACCCAAGCCCTCTGCTCAGCTCAGAGCTGCTTCCAGAGACTCCTCTCCCAGTCATTGCCCATAGTCCCCTCCCTCTAACTAGCCCCTAGGACCCTAGGCCCTGTGGCCATATGAAGGGAGATGCCTGCCTCAATCACTGCAGGGTGAGGGATCGGTGTCAGGCTCAGCTCCCACTGCCCACTTCCTGCCTGGCTTGGAGTTCAGGCAAAGATGTCTAGGCAGAGAGGGTACCCCTGAAAAGTTGCTTCCACATTGACCCCAGGCCAGCCCCCCCACACACACTGGACATCTTCTGAGCTGTTGGCGCAGAGGGCATCCCAGATTACCACCCAGCTGTGGCGTCCCAGACAACCACAGACATTGCCTGGCTATCTGGCGGAGGCAGCGAAGTCCACGGTTCTGGGTGTCCCCCTGAGAGTCTCTGCAGCCCCCTGTGCTTCTCTTCCAGTCTGGGCCTGCAAGGCTGTTTGTTTAGCTAAGGAAAGACATGTCCTTATGGCTGCACCCTCATCACCCTAGGGTCAGATATTCTAAGTACATCATACCAAAGAAGATGCAGCTTAGGGAAAATGACACAGGCACAAATCCTGGACAGGAGCAGGAACACAAGCCTGGAATTTGGGCCCCGTCAGTGGCAAGGGTGGGATCACTGGGTTGCAGGAACAGACCTGGCCTACAAACTCCCAAGGCAGAGTTGGCTACTTCCCTACCCAGCACCTCGCAAGTCAGCTTAGCAGGCCTAATACAGGCAAGGGAGGAAGTCCAAGGTCTCCGGGTGCCCACAAGCATCAGGTGGGAGGGCCCCCACCGTTTAATCTCACAGAGGACCCTTCAATGCTCAGTAGCACAAACAGGGAGTTGTGTTTTTGCACAAAACTAGGCAAAATGCCAAGGACCAGTGGAAGAGTCTTACCAAAAACACATGCTCCCCATGTTAATGTGTGGCCCCAGTCACCACTGAGGCAGAGCTGCAGACAAATTTCATGCTTTCCACTTTCCAGGGCTTTCCTCCCAGTGGTCAGTCAGAGCCCAATGCCCACAGGAGCAGGACCCCTCGAACAGATCTAAAACCATCTGCAGAGCCTGCAGCTGCACAATGGCCTGCACTGATGGGCTGAGGACCCAGGGACGTTTGAGGAGAAAAGTCAGACAGGAGGCCAACATCCAGGTCACGCAAAGGTCCCATGGCATTGGAGGTCAGGGTAGGAAACCACACCAATTTGCCTGCACACTATGGACTGTGGGGATAGGTGGCCCTGGATGGTACAGGGCAGGTGGCCAGTAACACTGTGTCTTGGCTACCCAAGCAAGCTACAGGATTTGCACTATACAAATCGGCTCTTTGATAGGATTCTCTGTCAGTCTGCCAATGTTACCTCAGGCCCTGGGGGCGTGTCCATTCCACTAATAGACATTCCACTAATGTCACCCTATAGAGCTTAAGGTTATAGAGGTGACAAGACAACTGGGTACTTTTTTTCAGAGCAGTGGGTCAGGGAGCCCAGCATCCTGAGATGGCTGAGTGGATAGGCTATCCTTTGAAGCCCGTAGACCCTGGATAGATTCCCAGAATTCTCTCCTCAATAGCTCCAAGTCATTCCTTGCCCCTCACCCACCTGCCCACTCAACCCCCAGGTCTGTCCTCACAGTGTGATTTGGAGCCTTCTCTGTGCCTGGAGCTATCACTTTTCCAGTGACTCCTGTGAAGTGCTCTGTGCAGGATGGACATGGGAATCCAACTGCCCTGGCACCTGCAGTAGTGCCCAGGTTACTCTGCCCTTTCCTAAAGGTTTTAGAAGAACCACCGCACAGAGCTGGGAAGGCTCACAAGCCAGAGCCTGGGAAAAAGGCTCAGCCCCAGCCTGCAGCCAGCGGTATCTTTGACTGCACAGCCCCTACTAACAGTGGCCTAACCTCCTCCTGCCAGCACAGCCTTTAACTACTGACTGCCGAACAAGGAGAGGAAATAGCTTCCCTCTCCTGCCCCGTGCAGGAGTGGGGACAGCTTATGTTGATAGGCCTGGGCTCTTGACAATCTTCTGTGTTAGCCACCCTGTCCCCTCTGCCTCCCACTCCTCAAGTACACTTACCCAGGGGTGACAGCAGGTGGGATGACCAGGATGGCCAGCAGCCGGGCCTGATGCAGTGCCTCGGCCACATGGGTTAGCATGTGGATGAGGCCCCTGCAAGAACAGAGAGGCAAGGTCAGCCCAGAGCTCAGTGGGGCTCTCTGGCATGCATGGCTCAGGGATACAGAAGATAGACCCCCAACCTGAAGCCTTGTTCCTGGGCAGGTGAGACCATCCACAGGGCTTCCCACTCCACCCTTCAGTGTGGCCCCATAAAGCAGCTGGGGAAGAGGTGGCCCTCCACCCCAACTGGAACCTACACTTTCTCATACTCAGGGTCTCCTAGAGCAGGGGCCTACCCAGTGCCCTAGAGGCTGCTGAGAGGGGCCAAAATGACCAGAGACAGAGCCAAATCCCTATTATGCCCGAAGTGGGCTCAGCACACAGACCCAAGGATACCCAGTCATCCTCAGGCTATGAAACATCACAGGACACTGTGGCCACACCACTAGGTGGGGGCTTCAGGAAGGAAGGAAAGGGAAGGGCACCTGAAGTGGGCATCAGTCCTTCAGAGGCCACCAGCTGGGGGAACGAGAGGGAGCTGGGGAGGTTGGCGGTGTGCCTCAAGGACAAACACCACCTTCTTTCCTCCATGGCCTGGAAGTCTGTCCTGTCCACTGGACCAGCACGGGTTGTGGTTAGACTGCCTATGGTGCCCAGCACTAGTTGCTGCCCTGAGTCTCTGTCCTGCAGGTAGTAATCTGGTGCAGCTGCAGGTTTGATGTGCTACATCCATTCTGGCCTTCCTTCACTCTCCCACTGCAGGCTCTCGGGAGCAGCCCCATTGAGAGAGCTAATGAAAGATACTATTCTCACAGGGACAGGCCCCAGTGGCCATAGGCCCTGCTCCAATATGGCTCTGCAGAGTGCGGATGAGGTCGCAGTCCTCTCAATGGCCAAGTGCTGGATAATGGTAGCATCTGTCTCTCTGATGTGGCCTAAATTAGGCTTTGGGCCTAACTGGGTTGCTTTTCAACACAAGTGCCAGTGATTCTAGTGTGAGGAGAATCACACTAGAGGGATCAAGGGCACTTGAGGCCCAACTGTCCTTTACTCCTTGGCCTGGCATCTGCTTAGTAGATGGCAACATACAGAGCAGAGCCCTGGAAGCAGCCCATCTTCATACTTGTATCCAGAACTCTTTTGGTGTGCCAGAGGCTGTTACCCACCTGCAAGCCACTTGGTGGACAGGAAGGGCAATGCCAGTGCCCCTGAAATATCAGTGGCCCAGGAGCTTAGGAAACCTACCCCACTAGGGAGGGCCCTCCTGTCTAGTCCCTATGGCTGTGGACTGTGCTGACTGCAGGTGTCCCCAAGACAATGGTGAGATGGCATTCACTAGGACATACCAGATCTGAGGGCTGAAAGGTACCCAAGGCCATTCTTTGAGGGACTCTGGGAGCATGGGCTTCTATCCACAAGCAGCCAGACCTCATGGCATGGCAAGGAGCTGACCTTCAGAGATCAGCTGACCCCTTTCCCCTCAGCTGGTGGTACTGGTGGCTCCCAAGGGATCATGTTCCAGCCACTCTAGGGATGGAGAATGCTGTTTGGGGTCACTTCAGAGCTCCTGTGGGACCAGTAGCAGCAATGTTCCCACCAAGGGTTTCATCAACAGACCCTGAATCTGATGCTGCTTCCAAAGACCATCACACCACCTGCCAACCTCAGTGACTTGTGCCCATCTGCCATTGTGGCCTTCCACATTTTGGGGAGAGGCTACCACATGACCCTTGGGGTTTGCTAGGATGAGACTTGGAGCCCAGCCCTGTGAACAGAATTGGTTTCCTCTTTTTTTCCCCTGTGGGGCTGGGGTTTGAACTCAGGGCTTCCTATTCACAAAGCAGGCACTCTACTACTTGAACCACACCTCCAATCCATTTTGCTCTGGTTGTTTTGAAGATGTGGTCTCGTGAACTATTTGCTCAGGCTGGCCTTGAACTTTGATTCTCCTGATTTCAGCCTCCCAAGTAGCTAGGGTTACATGCATAAGCCACTGGCACCCAGCTCCAAAACTGGAATTTCTCACCAGGTCTGGCTGAGGCCACAAGCTGCTGCTTATAATATCAACCACTCTAGAGATTTAATATGTCTGAGACTTAGACTTCATGGGAATAAGGGACTCATCCTTTTTCCTGGAGGACTTTTTGTGGGAAGTCTAGGGTGACCAAGGAACCCCGGCAGGGCTTGTCTCCATAGGGACCTAAGAGACCAGCTGGCCCCCCAGGGCTGGACGCATGGTCTGTCCTGACATATCTGGTGGCCTCTGACCAGGGGCAGCCATCCTGGCCAGGTGATACTCTAAAGAGAAGTCCTTAGAGCTGAATTAGATAGCTCTTGTACACTTCTCCATCTCCCAGCCTCCAGAAGAACTGGGTGACAGGAGATGGCTCCTGAGCCCATCTGTCATGGAGACCCTGAGTCATTGTCCCCCCACTAACCTGAGCCAGGGGCAAGCACCTGGCCTACCTGCCCGAGTTTGCTAACCACAGCCCTGCCAGGCCAACCTGGCATTGCAAATCCAGGATAGATATCCACAAGTAATGGGCTGGACAAAGAGCCAACCAGAGCAGCAGTCTCCTTAAATATTTTTGTTGGGTCTCACAGAGCCAGGCTTATCCTGGGAGGTAGCTCCAAGCCAGCATAATGCCCAAAGGAATCACTGGACTAGCTGGTCTTTGCTGCTCAGGGCCTGGCCACTGCCAATGTCTTGGCCCTGTGACTACTCTGCTGATAGCTCTCCACTGTCCCCTGAGCATAAAGGGACATGCAGGCTGCTCTCATCTCCACCTCCCCTACTGTAGCCAGGCTCTGAGACTCCCCCAGCCAGACCTCTCGCTCTGATATTAATGACCCATCAGGAGTCCAGACACAATGAGGCGGTGTCTCACTGCCTACTTAATGCACTGAAACAGAAATTAATTACAGTAAATCTCTGATTAATAGATCTGTAGTCACAGGATTAGCAGAAAGGCAGGTGGCAGAGTCTGTGGCGCAGAGAGATCCCTTCCTTCGGAGGGTGGCAGGTCAGTTTTGGTGGGCCTGCTGCCCAGCAAAGACTCTAGTCTAGGCAGGACCTGAGGATGTCTCTCAACAGGAAGCCTGGGGCATCTGTCCCTCAGACCAGAGCTGGAGTCCCATGGGGCTGTGCAGCAGAAGGCTCCCCACAGACTCAGGGATACTCTCACTTCTCTGATGTGCTTCCTCCCCATTCCTGCCCATCCTCCTCCCCTGGCTGAGGTCTCTCAAGAGCAAGGTCCTGGGCATAACTGGCCCCAGGTGTACCTTCCTCTGGTGCTCAGAGGGGATTACCATCCCCCTTCACCCCCACTCACTCAACGTTCCTTCTCAACCAGAGCCTCCCCTCCCTCCCCTTGGTGCCACAGGAGAGCTGCATGGGGATGCTGCCTCCCAGTGGGCAGAGCCAAGCTCTGCAGGTCTCTGCTGCCCGCAGTAGCCACAGCAGGACAGGCGATGGGGACACCAGGGGATCCCAAGGCCCCCTCTGGGGCTGGCACAGACAGGAGTGACTCAGCCAACCCTAAGCCGGGTCTTAAAGCACAAATGGAATTCCCTTAGGCAGGAAAGGGAAGGGAGCTGATCCCAGAAACCTTGGCTTGCCCAGAAGGCTGATGGGCTGGAGAGCTGGCTACAGGCCTCTGCTGCCCAGGCATCCGGTGTAGGCTGCATCAGCCTCTACCAAGGGTGCACCCAGGAGAATACCAGCCCCCTCCAGGGAAGGAGAACATTCCCTCCACTGTCTTCAGTAGGGTAGAACCCTCAATTTGGCAGAACCAGGGAAGGTGGCTTCTTTAGGTGAATTGGCAGAGTTGCCTAAGCTAAGGCCCTGCCTGCCTTCTGAGTCCCAGCCAAGACCCCCTCTGCTCTGGCCCCTCCCAGTCACTGCTCCTAAACCTCCCATAGTCTCCTCCTCAGCCTGGGCCCCCCAAGACTACTCTGCTGCCACAGACTCCTGTTACTCAGTGGAACATATGCCCCACCGACACATCAGTTGTGAGCTACAGGGGTGCAGGTGGGGCAGAGTGAGAGTCACTCTCAGGCATAGCCCAGGGCCTGACCCCAGGGACTCAGTAATGCTCACTGGACAGGTGAAGGAAGGAAGAAATAGAGTAGCATCCTCAGGGGTGTGTCTGGCCCCAGGTTGTGCTGGACTTTGGGTATCTGCACTTTGTAAGACTCCCTGGCCAAGCTGGCTAAGTGGAATGGGAACACTAGAGTCTTGGGTGTGTTGGTTGCTGCTGTGGCAGTAAGGGGACATGTGGGTGTTGTGTGGTGTCCTTCTAGTAGACTGCTGTAGAGCTGTGGGGTCTGGACCACTTCTCCCCAGAGGATGCTATGACCATCACACCTTGTGCCCTGGCCAACTTGGCCAGCCTCTTCTCAACATCCAGGAAGGCTCCTTTGTGCTTAGCAAGGAAATTTCTGCTTGTGCCCAAACTAGACCTCTGACACACAGACTTGGCCACCTTTCTCTCAGTGAATCTCTGTGGGCGAGGCTCCTTCCTTCCCTTTACCACCCATGAGGGGCTCCAGGCTGGCACAGCAATGTGTTCAGGTCTGGCCATCTGCCCCATGGCCATTCCTGGCTTCTTTTTTTTTTTTTTTTTGTCTTTTCTTTTTTGGTGCTGGGATCGAACCCAGGGCCTCGCGCATGCTAGGCATTCCTGGCTTCTTGAATAGACCTCCTTCTTTTATAGGGTCCCATTCCCACCCCAGGCACAGAGCCTGCAGGAGGAAGCCCCACATAGGCTCCCTTGCTGATGGTTCTTCCTCTGCTTTCCCCAAACACTAAAGCCTGGAAGACCACTGAATAGCCATCTGTCACCCCCACTCACACGTGCTTCTGGCTCAGCAACTGACTCCAGACCTCCACCACAAAGCCGTCAAAATGCTGGTTCTGCAAGGAATGGGAGCAGGTGAAGAGAAATGAGGAATCAGGAGGAATGGGGAGGAGACAAACAAGGAACTGTTGCCTCTGCCCACCTGAAAGGTCATAGCCTATTCATGAGGCAAGACCCAAGCCTGCACTGCACACCCATTAGCTCCTCTAAAGGGGGCAGTGTAGGGACTGTCCCACAGGAGCAGGAACAGAGGGGGCTGAGCACTTGTACATTCTGCCCACCCATGCTTCTCCATCCCCGCAACCCAGACCCACTGGGGACCAGCAGGGATGGGCCCCCTCCAAGGATGGCAGCAGGGCTTTGGCTAAGGGAAACTCCCTGGCCCAGGAGACAGGAAGTCTTCCACCCCTGGAGCCCCTAGAGGACTTGGTCAAGAGGCAGTGCATGGTGGCCTGAGTGAGGCTGATGCTTCCCTCCCTGGAAGACAAGGGCTGCACCAGAAGGAGCCCAAGCAGAAAGCCAGGCAAAAGGAGCCAAGTGGAGGTCCTGTGGAATCCCCAGTCAGAGGGGGAGGTGGAGGGTGAGGGAATTGGAGTGAAAAGCAGGGCCTACCTATGTAGGGGGTCCTGGTGACCTGTGCTTGGAGGCCGTGAGGAGCCCACAGTCTCACCTTTGCTACCTGGACCACAGTCTTGCTGAGCTCTTCTATCTCATCTTCACTGTCCAAGACATTCCGGAAATCGTCATAAGTCCAGTCCTCAAACAGAAGCCGAGGTACTGGAGGGTGGGAGAACACACACTGAAGTTGTGACCAAGAAACACTGAATTACCCTTCTCTGCTTGTTGCCCCCCTCCCCCCAAAAATGGTATTCTCTTGGCCTCCAGACTGAGCACAGTCAGACCACAATGATCAGAGTGGAGGCCACCCAGGCAGCCACAAATTCAGTGTAGATGCCCCAAACCCACAGTCCTGGCAAGGCAGGGACACACTGGGAAAGGAGCAAGAAGATGCTGACAGCCTTTCTCCTCCTCCATCAGGTCACCCTAGGTCTCTACCTTCTAGGAAGATGTCTGGGTCAGATCCCAGCTCATCAAGATCCTAGCTGCTGCTGGTGTATCTGCAGTGATTGTCGACCTCCACCTGACTTGACAGCTTCCACTGTCTCCCTCCTGGTCCTGTAAAGACCCCTGTGCCCTGCCTGCCTCCTGAGTCCCAGTCAAGACTCCCGATGTTCTGGCCCAGCTCTGTCACTGCTCCTAAGCCTTCCATAGTCTTCTCCACAGCCTGAACCCCCCCCAGGGTTACTCTGCTTCCTCCCCAGCTCCCTGCTGCTCACTGGGACATGTGCCTTGCCCATACACCAGCTGTGAGCTACAGGAGTACAGGTGGGAAAGGGTGAATGTCATCCTCAGGCATAGACCAGGGCCTGGCCCCAGAACTTGGTAATGCTCGCCTAATACGTGACGGAAGGAAAAAAATGGGAGGGAGAACTATACAAACAAAGCTACTGGCCAAGAAGGCTCTGGTCTTAGTGGATCTTAGCTCATGTAGGTGGGAGGGCCCAACAGATGGGCTGGAGCATGTACTGTGAATGCCAGATCAGAGCAGCCTTGGCTCAGGGCAGTCAGGGGAGTGATCTAGTGTAGGCTGGAGCAGCACAGCCTATACTAGGAGGTATAGTCGAGGCTTATGAGGCCCTGTCCACCCATAAGGAGGTAGGGTCACCTGTGTAGTATGGCTGAGAGTACTCCCTTGACCATATGCAGGCCTGCTGGACTCACCTATGCGCAGCCCCTTGGCATGCTTCCTGATGGCTCGAATCCACCCTGTGGGACACAGAAAGGACCATCAGCTCTGGGCAGGTGCCTAATTAGAAGATCCAGACCACCCCAGAAGGAAAACACAGCAGCTATGGAACAGGCAAAGGGAACCCATCCCTACCCAAGCACAGGGAGCAAAACTGAAGCCCCACCCCCTCCCAGGAGGCACCTCCACCCCGCCACCATGCCCCACTTGCCTTCCTACCCTGCACACCAGCCTGCACCATGGGCTTGCACTCTAGGCCCAGCCAAGCAACAATGAAGGAGCAGGCCACAAGTTCATTACACTCAGACTCACATACACCCACAGTCACACTCAACATACTGTCACAGTCACATCAATACACTCACACACCCATACCCAGAGTCACACTCAACACATTCACACTCATGCACACACTCAGCCATCACACCATACACACAGTCACCTACTTCCACTCACACACATGCACTTTCACACTCACAGCTATATGCACACTCTCACCCTCTTCTCAGCCCTTAGGACAAGTACAGACAAAGAAGAAGCAGGAGAACCTTGGTCCACATCATGGAGGCCTGTGACTTCAAACATCTCACGGCCACGTCTCTTTAGCTGTAGCCAGACTGGTGAGATCTGTGTAAACTTATTTCCGAAGACCTTGGCGACATCATAGCCATGGCTGTTCCACTGGCAGGAGGAGACAGAACAAGTGAATGCACACCTACCTCACCACAGTGCTGTTGCTCTGGCCAGTCACTCTAGACAGTGCTCACTCTAAGCTGACACCAGCCCTCTGCCTGGGATGCTCCCCTCCTGCTCTGTAGAGTTGCCTGGGTTGTTGTCCACAGCCTGGGGTCCTGGCCAATGTCCCCTTCACCAACAATGACATTCCTGGTTTCTACAAGTCCCCGCCCTGAGCTAGTATGCATACACTTCTGCAGGCTGGCATCTGGGGCCAGACAGCCCCAGAGCACATCTCTAGATTTAGGGAGCACCAACAGGAGTCACCTGCAGCCAGGAGGAACAAGCCCCGAAGAAATCCCCAGTGCCCTTCACTCTGCTATTTCCAGGATGGCACCACCCCCAACTGCGCCTCACAGTAGCAGCAGACCAGGGAGATCAGACACAGTCCAAGAGGAGTCCAGCCTACCATGAGGGCTAGGAGAAGCCTGTCTGAGCCTCTGAACCTCCTTTTGCACTACAGGGTCCCAACTCACTGGAGTGACATATCCCAAGACATCTCCAGCAAAGTTTCTCTCCCGGGCCCTCGCCGAGCAGTAGCTGCGATGCTCAAGAACCACATCCTCGGCTTTGAGGTCTGTCACCACCAGACCCCGATCTTGGACAGGTTTATCTGAAAACTGAGTCTGAAACAAAAGGGGAGCAAGCTGTCAGTCATTTGCCCTCAGTGTGGAATGTGGTATAGCAGTAGCAAGTCTGTTTCTGGATCAACGCAGCACAAGTGACCTAGAAGCCCTGCAGGTACAGGATCGAGGCCATAGCCTTCATGACTCTAGCTCAGATGCACTCACTGTCAGTGAGTGGACAGTGGCAGCTATCCGGGGCTACTCCCACCCTTGCTCTAGGCAGGACAGCAGGTAGGAAGTTATGGTTGTTTCTTCCATGCATGTGAGGGTGGACAATCAGTGCCTAATCAAGCCACGTGGACTCATCTGGACACCCAGGGCCATACACATTACAAACATGCCAGGCACATGCTACCCTCCATCCACCTCACACCCCTAGTGTGGGTCCTGTCACGCCCTGTTCCTGAAAAGTTCTCTGATTCTGGACTGTTCTGTCAACACTCTGGGGTCTAACTCAGTCTCCCTTGACACCATCCATTCCCTGGCCTCACCCCGAATGGCTCATGAGAGACAGAGATGCCCACTATTCAAGCTCTCTGCTCCAAGGCAGAGAGCATCTGTCAGATTCCCAGGATCATGAAAGCAGCCTGTCCAGCTATGTGGAAACTGCTGGAACTGAAGGGTGGTTTGGATGGAGACCCACCCTTGAGTTTACAATCCCTGAGACCATCCCAGAAAAACAGCACAAAGGCCATGATACAAACACAGCTTGAAACTAGGAATATGACAGAGTGCAATATCAGGGGGGTAGGAGTGCAGGAGGCGAAAGAAAGATGGAAACTGTCACAGAAGGTGGGTCCTGGAGTGGGGAAGATAAGTATGGCAAAAGAGCAAGACTACTACCCTCAGAACCCGAGGCTGCTCACTCAGAGCACCCACTGCTGACTTGTTGGCTGGTGTATGAGGAGGTAAGCCCTTCCGGTATCCTGATTCACAAGGGCCCTAACCAGGCAAGAGGAAGAGGAGGGTAATGGGTCAGCCATTGGCCACTGTGGTCACCTTAAGTCCCCTACCTTCTCCAACAGAGTCTTTGAGGCAGCTTTCTTGGCATCTGACTTTGACAGGGTAGTGTGAACAGAACCACAGGCCAGAGCAAGCCAGAAGATGTGAAGGAGAGTCCACATCATGCGTGTGTCACAGTGGGTTCCAACCTCTGGGTCCAGGGGCCTGCAGAGAGAACAGAGTACATGTTGACAGATAAGCAGCATGGAGTTATGGCATGGCATGGGCCAGGCATCCCCTCTGCTAATAGGAACACTTTCCGAATAGGGCCTGGGTCCTCATGGCGTTGGATTGGGTCTTGGTTTCTAGGACACAGTCCTGCTCTACACTAGCCCTGGTCACTGGAGTTAAGTCTCTAGCACTTCTGGGCTCCCCTGCCTGGGTCACCAGATACCTAGGCAGAAGCTTTGTCAACTAGCCATGGAGCCTCCCCTCCACTGCCCAGGGCTGCCCTTACCACAGTCAGCCATCTGGGAAAACACTGGCTCCCAATGCCCCCTCCCCCCCAAACACCTAAGAAATTCTAGCCATAAGTAGGGCTGAATAATAAAATAATGCAGTCACAGAGGATATGAGAAGAAACTGTGGATACTTACTTATGTAACCTCAGGATAGAGATTACAACTAGAGAGACTATGAAAGAATACCACTAAAGTTCACTACATAAAAACAAAACTGTGAAAGCTAGGCACTGTGGTATATGCCTGCAGTCTCAGCTATGGGGGAGGCTAAGAGCCTAGGATTGCTAGAGCCTAGGATTTCAGGAGTTCAAAGCCAGACTAGGCAACACAACAAGGAAATGAAATGAAATTTTTAAAAAAGGAAAACTTTCATTTAGAAGTAAAGCAAATTTAAAAACAAATAATAAGTCAGAAAAACATTTGGAACATACTTGACATATTTCTATCTGTAAAATAGAAATAAATCTTACAAATCAAAAGACACTCCAGTAAAAAAAAAAAAAAAGTCCCACTCTAAAAATAAGGGGCTAAGAAGAGATATATGGTAGAGATATATAGAGCAGCTATATGAAATGAGCAGCTCAGCTTCACAAGTGATCAAAGAAACAAACACTAAAATAAATCAGTGTCCCCTCTGATAATATGGAGTGGTGAGCATGCTTTCATGAGGATATGGAAGACAGCTCTACAGAGCTGTGAGTGGGAATTCAAGCTGTGACAGGCTTCTCGGATGACATCTGGTCATAAATATTATAGTGTCCACCATGCACTTCCTTCTTTTCATGAGCTCACACACACACAGGAACTGAGCCAGAGACCTGGCACTTCCAGGTACTTCAACCCAGACAGGCACTGAGGTGCTCACAACTATGTTGTTCAATGCAAAAACACCACAAAACCGCATTTACACAGCACAATCCTGGTTTTTCATCTTTGGGTTTTTTGGGACAGGGTCTATTTGGCCCAGCTAGCCTCAAACTGGAGATCTTCCTGTCTCTTGCCTACCAAATGCTGGAAGTACAGGTGTGCACCACCATACCTGGCCTGACAGTCCTGTATTTTCTTTCTACCTTCTCTCCCTCCCTCCCCTTCTCTCCCTCCCTCTCCTTCCTTCCCTCTCTCCCTCCCTCCATATGTAGCTCACGCCTGGATGGAGAGTCTTGTTTGTTTGTTTGTTTGTTTATTGACAGAGTCTCACTACATAGCTAGGCTGGCCTCTAACTCATAATCCTCCTGCCTTAGCCTCCAGGTTATAGGCATGTGCCTCCTGGCCTGTACCACCACAGCTGGCCTGACAGTCTTGTTTTTATACACGTATACACCTATATAAGGTACATACATAAGGATAGCTGGGCATCAGTGGCTCATGCCTGTAATCCTAGCTACTCAGGTGGCAGAGATCAGGAGGATCATGGTTTGAAGCCAGCCTGGGCAAATAGTCTGCAAGACCCTATCTCAAAAACACCATCATACACACACAAAAAAAGGTCTGGTGGCGTGGCTCAAGATGTAGGCCCTGCGTTAAAGCTCAAGTACCACAAAAATAAACGTATATAAGGAGTTGGTGCTGGTGGTTCATGCCTGTAATCCTAGCTACTCAGGAGGCAGAGATCAGGAAGATCACGGTTTGAAGCCAGCCCAAGCACACAGTTCAAGACACTCTATCTCAAAAAAAAAAACAAATACACACACAGAGGACTAGTGAAGTGGCTCAAGCAGTAAGAGCTCCTGCCTAGTGAGTGTAAAGCCCTGAGTTCAAACCCCACTGCCACAAAAAAAAAAAAAAAAGAAAGAAAGAAAGAAAAAAGTATGTAAGGCGACTAAAATATAAATAAGCTGACTGGTCATTTTGTTTCTTCTTTTATTTTCTCATTTTTCTGCACTGAATTTTTTTCATTTTTATTAGGGGATTATTATGCCAATTCCCAGTAGCCTTACACTGCACATTGGTTAGACTATCCCCATCAATGGACTGATTTTTTTTTTTCTGTACTGGTGCTTGAATTCAGGGCCTACACCTCAAGTTTTTTTGAGATAAGGTCTCATGAACTATTTGCCCCGGCTGACTTTGAACTGCAATCCTCCTGATCTCTACTTCCTAAGTAGCTGGGATTATAGGCGTGAGCCACCCACACCTGGAAATGCACTGAATTTTTATTAGTGGTTCAGTTCTCCTTTAGGTCCAAGGAAATTCTGCATAAGCATAGCCCAGTCGGGCTATCAGTCCTTCCAGCAGATTTAAGCTAAAGCATACTGAACCACATCCATGTAGTCTCATGTCCTGGCAAGCCGTGTCACTCCAGACCAGCTGAGGAACCCACTAAACCCAGGCAGAAGCAGGTGGGGAACTGGAGGCTGACTCAGCCCCCTGCCCAGTAGCCTTCCCCTGGGGCTAGAGACACTTCTAGACACCAGAACCCAAGCTGAAGAAGCTTCAGAAAACCTGCAAGGTAGGGTATGACCCATGAAAAGGCGCTACCAGAGCCAGGCCCACCTCAATGCCCTTCTGACCAGGTATGTGCTTTCACCTCTCTGCTTCCCTTTGCACGGGCTGCCCCTACTCTGCTGTCACTTCTAGGGAAGGCCTGCTGCTGGTGCAAACTGAGGGATCTACGGCATCAAGTTTCCAAGCTTTGGCACCCAAAGACTGTGTGGAGCTGTGGCAAGCACATGGTCCTGGACTGAGGCCAGCCAACCTAGGAGGCAGGGAGCTCATAAGGCAGCTTGGCCTTTTCAGGCTCTGAGTTAAGAAGGGAGCTTGCTGAAAGCTTTGGGTTCTAAAAGCCCTTGCTATCCAGACGGTATGATTTAGGACCCCACTACCCTCCAACCCTGGTCTCCCACCCCACTGGCTTCTGCCCAGAATGACAGAATGAGAATCAAAGGGCAACAGCCTCTGCCACCTCATCTCACTCAAGCCTTCCATCTTGCTGCAGTAACTGTGGCTTGGGTTGGGTGTTGCTCTGACCACGGAATGAGATTGGGACAAGCAGCCCAGAATTACCCAGAGTTTGCCTGGCCAAGCTGACTGTGGCTGCCCTGATTCCCGGGTATGTGTCTTTGATCCCAGCCCCGGTCATGACCACAGGCTCCTTCTTTCTTTGGTAGAGATGTGGGTCACAGAAAAGGGATGAGAGCTGGTGGCTCAAGTGGTAGAGTGCCTGCTTAGCAAGTATAAGGTAGATTCAAACCCCAATACTAGAAAGAAAAAAAAAAAAAAAGGAAGGATTGGACTCTAGAGAAGTGGTTCAGGACTAACCTGAACCCAGGAACTCAACCCCAACTGCAGTCTGTCCTGCAGACTTGCAGATGGGCCTGCCACCCACTCAGAGGCCCCTCTCTCTACCACATCCCCACCTATGATCTGTGATTTCATACCTCCAGGAAGGAAGACAGAAGGGTGGAGGGTAGGGTCTATCTGGACACACGGAAGAGGAAGACAGGAACAGTGCTGCCCGTGATAGCCTACACTTGGCTGCTTACCACTGCTGAGTTCCAGCTTTCCAGACTGACTGCAGGGAATGTGTGGGGATGTGTGATATGAAGAGTACCCAGGTTGCCACATCTCCCAAGGTTCCCCATTGTCTACTAGTCACTGCTCTGATGCCCATGAGGGGCAATCTCTCTATCATGCTTTTCACATAGCAGACTCCTGGGTTATCACACATAGTACTCTTACATCAAAATGTGTTTCTTCCCCAAAGACCAATGACCCTCTTTTGGGCCCTGCCGAGTGTGGTGTGTTATGACACTGGCCAACCTGAGTCTCAGAACCTGCTTCATACCAAGCTAACAACAGGAAGTATACTGTTCTTGCCATTCTAGGGCTCCAAGTTCCACAACACCAAAAGACTATCTCAGTGGGGCTGATACAAAGAAGTCACAGCAGAGACTTTTTAAAGGTTTTATGCAAACCCACAGTAAGAAATGCACAGGTGCATGTTGTATACATACCTGTTGTACATGTGCACAGTAAAAGAAGCTGATCAGAGCTAATCCTACCCTGTGATGCACTCTAACAACTTCTGTTTGTTTTTTTTTTCCTTTGGTACTAGGGCTTGAACTCAGGGTCTTCACCTTGACCCACTCCACCAGCCCTATTTTTGTGAAGGGTTTTTCGAGACAGGGTCTCATGGAACTATATGCCTGGGCTGGCTTCAAACCATGATCCTCTTGATCTCTGCTTCCTGAGTAGCATGAGCCACCCGTGCCTGGCCTGTTTTCATTTTTGTCCCCACACTGATCTCACACTTCAGTACTGCACCCTGAGAAATTCTGATTGATGTGCCTTGAGTATCTGTCACTGAGGCCAGTGGCTAGGTTACTAAACTGACTTTTTGTAGGGAACTGAATCCAGGACCCTGCATATGGCTAGACATGAGCTCTACCAATGAGTCACACCTCCAGTCCTGAGCTAGTCAGCTTAACAGCAAGTACAGGTGGTCATTCTATGATTTCACCTGAGCACAAATTTTGGAGCTGTGTTCTTATGGTGAGGAGTGAGTACATGCTTGGAAATGAAGGTGGCGTAAGAGTCAGAACGATCACAACCCCAAGTGACATTTATTGTGAACTCATGTTGTGTACCAGGCCTGGTGTGTTACCCACAAGTTCCCTCTACAGCCCAGGACACAGGTACCAGTGTTATTCATATTCACAGATGAAGAGATGGCCCCGGGGGGTGGGGGGGGGATAGCCCACCCAGCTCTGGGGCACGTGACCACCACACTACACCAATTCCACAACAGAAACAGGACTGCCACAAGATGGCTCAAGGTCTGGTTAGTCACCAGCGGCGGTCCCTTGACCTCTCTGGTCTTGGGTCATCGAGACCTGTGAAGCAAAGGACGGCCCAGTTACCCAGAGCGTTCAAGGCCTACCCAAGCTGGGGGGTCACCTGCCCCTCTCCTCCTGAACCTCTTGCCTCACAGAGGTGCTGGGGACCTGCCCCTGCCCACTACCACCTCGTCACACTATGTGCTCATTCTGCACGCCTGCCAGCCGTCTGTCCAGACTTGCTTGCACTCACACCCTTCTCTTGCACGTTTGCTTTCGCCCAAACTCCCGTGCACGCCGGCTCTCATCTGCCCAATGCACTACACTCAGCCACACCGGCAGGCACACGCGCCTCGCACGCTCGTGTCCCGCCGTCCACACGCCCGCTCTGAGCGTCACCCGCGCGCCCTGTCCCTCCAAATCCCACGCCCCAACGCCCGCTCAGTCCCTGGCGGAGCCTCCTGCCCGGCGCGCCCATTTCACGGCGGGGAAGCTGAGGCCGTGCGAGGTGGAGGAGCAGGCACGGCAGCCGCAGGGCTCACCTTCATGTCAGGAGGCCGGCTAACCCCTCTCACAAGGCCGGAAGACGCTCCAGCACGCCGGAAATCCCGCCCACGGGCTGCCTCGCCACGCCAGCTTCCTCGACGCCGCGCACAGCACGCTGGGCCGTGGGCGGGGCCAGGAGGGCTGGGGGCGTGGCCGCGGGCGGGCCCTGTGCGGGCGGGGCACGAGGCGTGTGTCGGGTGGGCGGGGCCGCGGTAAGTGGGTGGGGCCAGTAGTGGGTCGGAGAGCACGCTGCCGGCCGGGCCAATGCAAGGCGGTGAGGAGCCAGCGAGCGGGCTCAGTATCCCCTGCGCTGGGGCTTGCGGTGGTCTTAGCGGCCGCGCGACGTTTGCGCCGCGCTCATGTGGACAACCACTCGGGGCGCCCCGGCTTGGGGACCACTGGCTCCAGGGGCCCGGCCAGTCCTAGGCTGCGAGGATCGCACCGTGCACAGTCCGTTCCACAGCGGGTCCAGTTCGGCAGGACCCACCCCACTTCGTGCACTCTTCTCTGACCCCCTCGGTGCCCGTTGCCTGGGCGAGGACATTTTGGTCACCGTTCACCGTCCTGCAGTGTCCACTACGCCCTTCTCAGTAGGGACACCTCTATGCCAAGCTCTGTAACCCCCGCCTCTGGGAGTGTCTTTGTCTTCTCAGTCTTGCAATTGCAGGGGCAGAAATTCCAAATGCCAAGACCCTACTTCAGGACCCTTCTTCATCCGAGCCCAGCAACAGGAGCCTAATGCACACGTGGCCAGAATTTTTTTCCCTTTTGGCAGTACTGGGGTTTGAACTCAGACTTGAGTTCACACTCACACTTGCTAGACAGACGCTCTACTGCTTGAGCCACTCTGCTAGCCCTTTTTTGTGATGGGTAATTTTGAGATAGGGTCTCCAAGAACTATTTGCTTGGCTTGGTTTCCAACCAAGATCCTTCTGATCTTTGCCTCCCAGTAGCTAGGATTTTAGGCATGAGCCACCGGGGCCCTGGTTGTGGCCGGCATTTTTAATCATAGCTGACCGATCCCCACCCCCATTCTTTGCTGTTTCCAACAGTTTCCTGCAGAAAACCACTCAGCCTGTCCCCACCCTGCTACGTGCCCCTCCTCCTCCCAGCTCTAGGATGCATTGTGTGGACTGTTTCCCCATTTCTGAAGCTGCAGAGGCTATTCCTCTAAACTGAGCATTGTTCTTTCTTCCTAGTCATGTTTCCTTCTTTCTCTTCCCCATATTTTCTGCCAGCTGTCCTCCAAGTCTTTCCACAGGGGCCGGGGCTGGGTGTGTGCTAAGGCATATTATGCACCGACTGACTGTCTTGCTTTCCTGGCATCCAACCCAGGACCCCACTGTTGACAAATAGCCCAGATGGTGATCCCAAGTCCGGCAGAGCTCTGGAGAGGGCCCCAATAAGATACATTGAGTATCCTGAGACCTGTGCAGTGCTCCTTAGCAATGCTAAGGGGGCCACAGTTCTCTTAAATTGGAAAGGCCTTTATCAACCCTAGGATCCTGCTGAGGTCAGAGGACTCTGAGCTAAAGAATTGTAAACCCATTCAGTTCACTGCAGACTCCAAAAGCAGAAGGGAGGGGCAAGGAGCTCCAAAGCAACCTTCTTCAGAGTCCCAGTGGGCACCATTCCTAGGGGCCTGTTTAGTTGCCAGCACACAACTAGTAAACTCTCCAGCTGCACAGGTGGTGCCAATGCACTTCAGATCCCTGGCAGATATACTGGCTTGTTTATGTGTCTTTGTGTTGCTGGGGATGGAACTCAGAGCCTGACCACTGAGCTACATCACCATCTCAAAAGCGACTTCTTTAAGTGGTTACCCACCATTTTGTGTGTGTGGTACTTGGGTTTGAACTCAGAGTTTTGCATTTGCAAAGCAGGTGCTCTGGAGCCACACTTCCAGTCCATTTTGCTTTAGTTATTTTGGAGATGGGATCTCATGAACTGTTTGCCCAGGGCTGACCTCAAACCTTGATCTTCCCTATCTCAGTCTCCCAAGAAGGTAGGATTACAGGCGTGAGCCACTGGCCCCTGGCTGTTACCCACTTTTTAATCACAGGAAGATGTGGAAAGAGGCATAGAAAGATGTAAGAGAAGCAGGACAAAGAATTAGCATATCTGTATTAAGTGAAACCTGAGCATATTTGGTGCTTAGTTTCTGGAACATCTAAGATAACTTGGGGTTTACTGCTTTTAAACTTTAATTTATTTGAGTTCTCCAGCTTTTGTTGTCAATTTAGACAACCTGAAGTACTTAAAAAAAGGATATCTAGTTAAAAAATTTACAAATTCAGTTTGAATGTTGAAAATGCCTAATTAACTGTGTTTGTAAATGGTCCCAAATATCACAAAGGCCCCTAAAAAGTGACTGTAGACCTGGCACAGTGGCTCACTCCTGTAATCCAACTACTTGGTAGGTGGAGATAGGGAGGATTATAGTTTGAGTCCAGCCCTAGCAAAAATTTAGCAAGACCCCATCTCAATAAATAAACCAGATATGGTTTATTTATGTATCTGTCATCTCAACTATGAGGGAGGCATAGATAGGAAGATTGTGGAAAAAAGTGTGACCCTATCTGAAAAACAACCTAAAGGAAAAAGGGCTGGAAGTGGACTGGACGTGTGGCTCAAGTGTTAGAGTGCCTACCTAGTAAGTGTGAAGCCCTGAGTTCAAATACTAGTGTCATCAAAAGAAAAACAAGCAAAAACAAAAAAATCTCCACCAAGAACTGAAAGTATCATTCAAGGTTAGAATGCTTGCCTAATAAGTATGGGAGCCTAAGTTCAAACCTCAGTACTGCACCCCCCCCAAAAAAAGTGACTGTAAAGCCCAGTGTAGTGGTATATGTCTGTAATCCCATCCAGCATTCATGAGATTGAGTATTACAAGTTTGAGGCAGCCTGGACTACACAATGAGACCCTGTCTCAAAAAAAAAAAAAGTTTTAAGGTTTAAAACCAAATAAACCAAATCCTAGTTATTTAAATTTAATGCAATGTAAAATATGAGTATAATCCTTGCCAGGTACTAAACCAGCCCTCAGCCCAGTTTCACAGCCCTCTTTACCAGAACAGTATGGGGAGCCCTTAGTGAGGTCCAAGCTCTGAGATATGGGCCAGGGGCTGGCTCCCCTGAGGCTGCCCTGTTTACCCCTGCCAGTCTGCAATTGTCACTGGAGGGCAGACAAGGGCAGGTGCAGCTACTGTGGACTGAGGGGCCTGCAGAGACAGGCCTTTCAGCTGTGGACCTAATTCCTGAACCCCTGCTCCTGCTCTGGGGACACCTCACCCTGATGTACCTGGCCACCTAAGGGTCTTCAGCTGAGGCTGCCTCTTGAGACAGCTTCAGAGGTGTCCCTGAGTTACCGCAGGGAGCCCAGCACAAGGCTGACACCTCAAGAGCCTTTACACCTGGTGTTTGAGGTGACTGGTGGCTATGGGACCTCTGGGGGCGGAGTTTGTGTCTGGCTTGTGACACTGGGTGGGGCTAAGGTAGCGTTCCCAGCCTTGCAGTGTCCATGCATCAGTCCTCATTTGCCAAGTCTGCATAAGCAAGGTGCTTCCTGACAGTGCAGTCCTGTGACTTCTTCCTGTTTTAACTAGAGTCCTTGGCCTGGATCACCCGGAGGGCAGGACACTGGCCACTATTGCTGACTGTGTCCTGTTACTCCTGGGCCTGAAGCAGTCCCAGTATAGAAGCTGGAAGTCCAGAGGAGGGATATACATCAGCGTTCCCTGCTACAGAGCCCTCCCCCACTTGTGGATAGAGATATCTTCCCTGGGTGCTGGGATAAGCAAATCCAGGCAAGAAGGAAGGAGGAAGCAGGCTGGATCACATGCAGCGGAAGTTTCTGGATAGAGCTCTAGGTCCTGCACAGCAGATTTCTGTCTGTATTCCATTTGTGGGCCTGGCTGGTCATGGCCAGGGTGTGGAGATGTTTGGTCAGCACCTGTTGTGTACCCCTGCACTCTATGCACCTGTACTTTGTAGAGGACTGTGCTTTAAGGCATCTTCCATGGTTTTCATGTTTCTTGGTAGCCCACGACCAACCTAAAATACCTGAGGACAAAGAGAGGGGGATCTGTGTGTGGCATTGATAAGGCCAGGGAGGCAGCACTTCTTGGTGATTGTAGTGGGTTGAATAGTGCCCCCTTCCCAAAAGACTGCAATTACAGCTATGTGACCTTATTTGGAAATAGGGTCTCCGCAGATGTAATCAAGTTAAGGATCTTGGATTAGAGATTAGGACCCTAAATCCAGTGACTGGAGTCCTTATGAGGAAGGAAAGAGAGATCTGAGATGGACACAGGTAGCAAGGCCATATGAAAGTGGGGACAGAGAAAGGACCACACAGCTTTACGTCCAGGATGCCATGATCACCAGCAGCCACGTGCAGCTGGAGACTCTACCTCAGGGCCTCCAGAAGGATCCAGCCCCCTTTCCCTGGCTGTCACCTTGGTTTTGGACTTCTGGCTTCCAGAACTATGAGGGAATAAATTCTTCTTGTTTGTAAGCATCAGATTTGTGGTCACTTATCAACAGCCCAAGGAAAATCATTCAGCAGGGCTGAAAGGCCCCCAAGGGATATTGTCAGTATGTTTTCTTTCCTAAGGCCGGTCTTATAATTACCGCAGCTCACCCTGATGGGGCCCATACAGGAGGGAGCCAGTTCTGATGCCAGGGAGGTGGATGCTGGCCTGAGATGGAAGCATTTGCTACAGTACCCTCCCAGCCTGTGAGGCTAGCTGAGTGTGGATGGCAGGCATGGTGGGCCTGGCCATGAGGGTGGAGTATTTCTCAACAGGTCTCTCAGGGAGTCTGGAGGTTGTGGGTCTCTGCTCTGGGGGTAAAAAGGAGCCCTGAGTGGCAGCATTCTGGGGAAGGGTGGATTTTTCGCAGCTCCTTCCCTGGCCCCTTCCTTGGCTGGTGTTACCAGCTACATTGCTCCTGTGCCTTTAGAGAAGGGTAGGTGGAGCCATTTCCTGATGGTTGATGATGTTGAGACTACGGGAATGGACATGGAGTAGTACTGACGA